TCAAAGTAGATATAACCAAATATATGTTGCTCAATAACCTTAATTAATATTCATTGAGCTTTTGTTATGTTTTATACATGAGTCCGGACCAACTATCCAAAGTCTCGAAACAGTTCTGGATCACCTCGCTGATTTTTTCGATCACTTTCTTCTGAAAATTCTCATTAATTGATACTATTTTCAGCTCATATTTGCAATAAATGCTTACAATTTCCTATAACCGCGTTTGCGGTGTCTATCTCAATAAAGCAGCTTAAAACTTCTGACCAGATAATTTTTTGCGTAATTTTTTCTTGACTTAAAAAACTTTTTCCTTTAATTTTTCTTTCCTTGAAAATATTAATTACATACAAATTGTTCTCTCTTCTTTGAAAATATCAACACTTTAATAAAAAGCAATCGACTTGAGTCCTTGGCTAATTTAATTCTTAATTGTTTTTCATTCAACTGTTTTGCATCTATAGTTCTCCTGTGGTTTATAAAAAAAAAATGAACGATCTAGAATTTCAAGTTTTCGCTTGGAAAACATCAACTCTAGAATAATAAAAATTCGACAATAATCCGTGGATAATTTATTTTCTATCTTTTTTTTTTTTATACAGCTGATTTTTTCCCGTAATTCTCATATGATTTATATAATTTTTGTATAAATAAATTACTAAAAATTCTTAGCGTTAAAAATATACAAAAATAAGTTAGAAAAGTGTTAATAAATGTGCAAGATAAGTGTGTAAATATTGAAAAATATCCGAAAACTCCGATAATTTACTCAACACGCTAGGCGCTAGAGCAATTTTTCAGCTGAAAATTGATAGCCCGAAAAATGCATTGTCTCTGCAACCATAATTGCTCACGAATTTTCTTTTGAGTCAGTGCGTGCTAGGAGCAGCGCCCATATGCTCCATAGGATACCAATAAATATATTTGTATGTATGTATATAAACACATACACGCACAGTCACATGTATTGAACTGTGCGAAAACCAACTTTTTGACGTGTGTACCTTGCAACATCCTTCGTGAGACGCGCGCTGCAAATTGTGTGCGAACAAAAAAAATAAAAAAACAACAACAAAAAAATAAGAAAACTACTATAAGCCAGAACGAGAGCGCAGAGCCGAGAGTGCTATTTTTTATATTTACATATCTAAGTATGTATGTAAGCAAGTGAGCACGAGTGCACTTTTTAGCAATGTTTTTTTGTCTTTGTGTTCGTTGTTTTTTTTTTTTTGTGGCGCTGCGAACTCACAAATGCCAACAAGTTTAAGTGTGCAGTTCAAGAAACAAAACGCAACACGACTAACACTAATAACAACAATTTTAGTGACAGCTAGCAGCAACAACAATAATAAGCAAAAGCAGCAGCAAACTACGTACAACAATAACAACAACAACAGTGGCAAAGTGTGACAGCAGTCAAACATGAAAAGTGCAAAATACACAATATGCCGCTGCAAGGAAAAAGGGATCAGAGTTCATGCTCGAACTCTTTAAGCAAGAACTACACTAACACTATATCAACAACAACAACAATAACGAAATGCAAGCGTGTAACGCAATCGGTAGCTGACACTCCCATTTCATATCAGCTACCATGCACAACACTGCGCGCTGACAAAAGAACAGCAACAACAACAAGAATCGCAACAACAACAACAACCACTAAAATGTACCCCCAGTGCGCCTATGCACGGTGACCGCATACAGCCTGTCTCTTATACACATCTAGATGTGTATAAGAGACAGACACTGCGCGCTGACAAAAGAACAGCAACAACAACAAGAATCGCAACAACAACAACAACCACTAAAATGTACCCCCAGTGCGCCTATGCACGGTGACCGCATACAGCATAGCGGCATGTCGTTATCCTTGCGTTTTATTGCGGTTGGCGTATGAGTGCTTTTGTTGCTTCACGGCATACGCGCGTGTGTGTGTGATTGCTGCTGTGTGCGTGAAGTGTTAACAAAAGTCTTTCAACCCCGCTATGATTGCTGTGTGCCCCTGTGCTGCTGCCACTATTAAACGCACCCCTACTCTATTGTTTGCCTTTATACGAAACATACCTGTGTATGTGTGTGTATGTGCGTGCAATTGTTTCCGCTATTGTTTACCTTTTGTGTGGGTATGTGTGCGTTTTTGATTGTTTTCGTGGACAATACTGCGGTTACGTGTTTTCTACTTAGTGTTTTTTTTTCTATTGTTATTGTTGTTGTATTTGCCCTACGACTAAACACCACTAACAACACTATTAATATACAGTTTAGTGTGCTACCCGACACCGCCGTCGCCGTCGCCGTTGATGAGCAATCACATGCAACTTATAAAATGTGTTAAGCGTAAAAACAGACAGACGTGAATTGAAACGTGTATCCGTGAAAGGCATCAAGCGAAGACGAGCCTCTTCCGCCAAGAGCCACTCACTCACATACATATGTATATAATACTACGCCATTGAAAACAATACAGTGTGTTAATTTTGAAAAGCCAGCAGTGTAAATCGTTTCGTTCTTAAATGGAAAGAAAAATAAAAAATAAATAACGGTAAATTAAAAAAAAAAACAATAATAATAATAATAAATAATTGTTCTACATTGCGCGCTCTTGGAGAGCAGCGCTCGCGCGCCGGCGTTCACGCGTCCACTCGTTCGCTCGTTTTTCTTACGCTCCCACGCCGCTCACATTACGACGCTCTCGCCTGTGCATTTTGTCGTGTGTGTGTCTGTGTGTCGGCAATATAATAAATGATGGAATGGCTACCGAGAGGATTGCCCAGCATCCATGCACCAATACCGATTTGTGGTGAGTTGTTGGTAATGTTATCTATCTATCATCCGTACCGTACCCGACCCTATGTCTACATATACATATGTTTGTATGTATGTATATGTTTGTTTGTACATATGTACGTACGAGTTTTTAATTGAAATTCAATCAAATTCAAAATTTCATAACATATTCATTTTTGTTTGCCTCAACATGCATTCTGCGCACATTTGCCGTGGCATCTTATTTGCAATGCCTGCGCTCATACTGGCACACATACATATATTCCTTGCGATGTGTGTGCGTTTGTAATGCAAATAGCCGTAGGTAATTGTTTTAGAAATATTTGTGAATTGTACGAAATCAATTTTTGCGAATCACTTTTACCTCAAATTTATATTATTATTTTATTTCACTGGAAATTTTGTTTCTTTTTCGATTTTTTTTTATTTTGGCCACAGATCTATTTTGTAAGTTTGATAACCACTCAATTTTATAATTTATATGGCTATAACGATTTTTCCGCATAATTTTTTTTAATAAAGCATTTGGTTCAAAATGACAATTTTTTTAAGTAAAACCAATATTGGCGATTAACGCATGACATCTGCGTGGCATTCATCTTCTTTACTAGCGTAGGCAGTCTATCACAACATGATCGATTTGGTTAGCGGCTTTTCGATCCGGAGACAGCCGGAAAGCTTGATGAATTTTTCTATGCTGAATCCTAATACTACAGATAATCATATTTAGGGAATCGGCGTAGTCGATCAGCCTCAACCCATTTGGGGATGTTTTATCATGGTGGCTGAACTTACCGACCGTTGTGCCAAATATACCTTCTTTGCTCACCCTGACGTTAAAGTCGTCAAGCACGATTTTGGCGCATTTGCTCGCCTTTATATGTCTACTGGACCTACTCGGCTCAGTCCTTGTCCCGTCCATCACATTTCTTGGACGACGGTGCTGTCAGCCTTTAGGCACATTCCCTAAGGGATCCAGGTGCCTGGCTTTAAATCGTAATCCTTAATGCGCTTGCCGTGGTCGTCATCAAAAGAATAATCTCTCATCCGAGACTGTTTAGCTCATCTTCAAACGAATGCTCTTTAACTACCCAGAGGATACTTGGTCAAATACCGGAAATTGTGAGCTGCTTGAGCCATATGTAAAGGAATCGCGTCTGGCCACTCTCAAGTGAATGGTGTTCAGAGAATTTTCCTCACTTGCGTGAAGTTCTAGACATGACTCCATCCTCCTGCGTGGCATTGACTTCACTGATTTTTGTTAGATGTCCTGCGGAATCGCTTCTCAATGCTTCAAATCCAAGAACAGTCAAAAATTTACATAAAATCACTGCTTAGTGCATTGAGCAGTGTGTTTCGGATCATTCGTGCTAGTACATCCCTCTTAAGAGTATGTTAGCGTTGTGACGTTGTCGTCATTATTTACCAACATGTTCCTAAATTGGTCCTTATATAGGCCAAGTATTATAGGCGTAGAGTACCTAGGGTTCAGCTCTTTTCGTTTTGGGCGTTTACATATCTTTTCCCACCTCAACACATTCTGTTTTTATTAGTTTCGTCAGAAAATACTACATTTTTTCATTTACTTGTTGTCTAGTTGTGAAATTTTAAATCGATCTCCAAACGATTTTTTTTTTGCGAACAGAGAGCAGCGGCTTCTTCCAGGAAATCCTTCCAAACAGTCCTGCTTCCTGAAATCATTTTTTAATAGTATCAGGGCTAATACGTTCTCATTGTGCATAAACACTTATGCTTTAATTCCTCTTGGTAGTTATATGCGGATCTTTTCTTGATTCGCGAACAAGAAGTTCGTCTTCTTTTGATGCCGTTTTACACGTTATGGTACTTGTTTTATGGCCATCACTTTCAAAATGTTCAGTGCATATGTAGTTTCCTTTGATTTACCATTCTCTCGCACCTATTATGGAGTGTGTTCAGATATATAGAGTTTCCAATATTAAAAAAAAAAGGTTAGAAAGCATCCCATAAATACAAAACATTACATCGAAACATTCGATTATATTTTTGATTACATTAATGGCCATGAACACAAAAATCTGTTCAGTAATTAAATGACAGAAAATTTTCGATTTATTAAAGCAGAAAATTCTATTTTCCTGAAATATATTCTTTAAAATATTCACTAAATACTTTATATTGAAAAAAAAACTCGCATTTTAATAAAATAAAATTTATTATTTTTCTTGCAGTTCCTCCAAAGAGTGGCCAAAAGCGCCCAGCAACAAGTCCAGCACCACCCATCCCGTCGCCACATCATATACAATCGCCCTCCACCACACCCGGTGCTGGCAATAGCAGCGGTGGCAATGCGGCAGTGCAAATGACGTCCAATTCGGCGCTGTTGAATCATGTTATGCCACCAAATCAATTAAGTGGCTTGCAAGCAGCCTCTTTGCAACAGCAACAGCAACAACATCAGGCACATCAACAGGCTGTCGCTGCAGCAGCAGCAGCCGCACAAGCGCAACAGCAACAAATAGTTGGCGTACCGGGTGCGCTGAATGCGGCACAAGCGAGTGCACGCGGACCCTTCGCCTCGGCATTGCGCAACTTGGCTAAGCAAGCCGACATCAAAGAGGAGGACGATATCAATGTGCGCGTCGAACGTAACGAGCGCGCAGTACCGCTAAGTGCGGGTAGTAGTGGTGGTGGTGGCGGTGCAGTCGGTGTGGCCGCGGCAGTAAGTGTTGCCAATACCAATGTGGTGAATGTGTCCAATACGACACGTGCAGCAATGTCAAATGAACGGCTACCACCAAGCGGTGGTGGTGGGCAAATCAGTGGTGTGGACGAACGTTTAATGGCCAAAAAGCGTACTGGTTCGTCGCCGCAACCAGGCGAGAAGATCGCACGTATGTCTTCGCAACAGTCGGTGCAAATGCAACCTGAGTTATTGGCGCGCAGCGGTTTTCAACCATACCGATCAGATGAGCGCCTGATACATCCGGCGGGCGCTTTTCCCTTGGAAGCCTATGCCACCTTCGCAGGTTTACCAACGATGCCGCCAGGTGAGTGTACGCGCGCTCTATGTTATATATAATAACTCTAGCATAATTTACTCTCTTTTGTAGGGCCGTTCTTGAGTCCAGCTGGTCTGCCTTACTCCGATCAATTGTACTTAGATCAACGCTTTCAAATGCTACGTGCAGCCGGTTCTCACCACACACACCCGCATGCCCTCTATCCACCAATGGCTTCGCCCTATGCTTCTCATTTATATTCGATGATACCGGGCGCAGCGCTTGGTTTGGGCTCCGCCTTGCATGAACGTATGAAATTAGAGGAGGAACATCGCGCGCGTATCGCCAGAGAAGAAGAACGCGAAAGGGAAATACAGCGGGAAAAGGAACAGCGCGAGCGCGAACGTGAACAAAGGGAACGCGAGCAACGTGAGAAAGAACAACGAGAACGCGAACAACGCGAAAAGGAGCAACGTGAGAAGGAACAGAAAGAAAAAGAAGCACGTGACCGTGAGTTACGTGAAAAAGAGCGTGAGGCAAGAGAACGCGAAAGGCAAATACTATCTGCCTCTCATCATTATACAAGTCAGTTATATTCGCCATTGGGACGCAATTTACTTGGACCAATGATGCCACACTTGGGTTTGGGTTTGCGTGCACCGCCCGGTGCATTGCATAGCCTACCGCCGATGTCCGCCTACCATGCGGCGAGCCAACGTCAGAGTCCACACTCTGCAATGGGTCTCAATCTCGGTTTGCCCGGTTTGGGTAGTGTACCATCGCTATCGCATGGTCCTGGTGGCATACCGCATCATTTACAACAATCTGCATTGGGACTGGCACACCCAAGTGCTGCTGGCTTAACGCATCCGGGCTTTCCTGGTGCCGCTTTGGGCTTGTCACACCACGGTATAAATCTAACACATCCACATATCTCACCACACCATCCGGCAATGGTGCCCAGTCATCAGATGTCACCACACTCATCATCGATAGCCTCGACCTCGACCACTACCACATCGCCACACAATCTAAATTTGAGTATGCAAAGCAATGCGGGTGCCAGCATGAAGGTATCAGTGCCCAGTAGTGTTTCACAAACGTCCGTATCGGGTTTGCAGTCCTCCACCAGCATGACTCAAGCCACTTCGACGTTGTCCTCACACATTCCGCAAATGAGCAACTCACTTTACCACTCGCATCACTCTAGTCAGCATCTAACCAGCGCTGGACTGGCACCCACATCTGCGCATCAGCAGCCGCCGACCTCAATGCCGCTTTCGCTAACTAGTAATTCGGGCCGCAGCCATTCGGCATCGCCCATCACAATGAAAGCAACACCGCAATTGTCGAACAACAATCCCGGTATGCATAATCAAAACGGTGGACGTTCCGCCAGCAGTCCACATGCTTCACGTCAGCTGGCTATGAGCCAAACGCAACACCAGCAAAATGCAGGTGTTCACGATAAGCAAAATACTTTGACGCCGAGTGCACTCGAGCCGGCCACACTAGATCTGACTGGTTCGAATTCCAATTCCAGCGTGCAAGTGTCATCTGTAGCCAGCAGTGGCGGCGGTCATAACACACACTCGAATGAACTAAACGGTACCAGTGGCGTTGAAGCGATTGGCATTGGGGAACGCAAAGATAACACTGCTGCGATAGCGAAGAATCTCTCGCTCAATGTAAACACCAGCGATAAGAGAAGTCCATCGACATCGCCCACAGTTGCCGCCAAAGATAATGCTGCCGCATACAATATGAGCGTGTCGAACAACGCCGAAGATTCAACGCGACAATGCAGTCCAAACAGCGCGATGTCCACCTCAGCAGAGCCGCATACATCGATATCGCCGCCGGCGAAACCAACAATCGGTGGCGATTCCATAGGTGGTGCCGGTCATGGAGCAGGTGCAGGTTCAGGTAATTACAACAATAATTCCAAAGTTACCGCCGTACCGTCAGACAACATTGTCAAGCCAACAAGTGACCCCTCAACGGGTGTTTTTGCAACCAACAACACACAAAATGTACCGCCCAACGATACAGTACGGCCGACGGTAGGCGCCACAGATGTGCAGTCGACAGCAACACCGACCAACACCAACACCAACAACAGCAGTAACCACAGCCACATCACATCGCCTACAACTACCACGCCCGATGCGTGCGCCAGTGTAGGCGGTGTGACCTCCACGACCGGTGGCAGCACCTCGCCGCCTGTGGTGAGCAGCAGCACGAATATTGTAAACAACAAAACACAAAAGAAGAGCAATTGCGATGAAACGGTGTCCAGTGCGACGCCAACAACTACCACGGCCGCGATCGAGGTGAATGGCGGTGGCGCTGCTGCTGGTGGCGGTCGGTGATGCTGTGCTGCCGCGTGTCTGTTTGCCCAACGGCACCAACAACATAAGCAACAACAGCACGGAAGCGCATACGCCAAACGCTATACTTATGCGCTCGTATAAATATTTCTTAACTGTAATTACTTTAGCACACTTAAGGTTAAGCCAAGCTTCATGCCATGTACCCCTTAATGGAGATCACCGTCTGCTCATTTTTGCGTTTCTTATTGAGTCACTTTATTTTGCAACTTTTCGTTTACACAAATCTCCGAATTATTTTATTCTTACGAATTCTCTTTGCATATCTATCTATTGGACTAATGATATACTTACACTTTTATGTTAAAGCAACAACAATATATCGGCATTTTGCCTTAAATATATGTGTATTTGAATTTATGTGTATAGTGTAATTTTCAGTTCATTTTTAATATTATTATTAAATTTTCATTTCATTTCAATTTTAGTTTAGTTGCTTAAGTAATATACATACATACCTACTACATTGGATTCGAATTAAGGTTTTCATAGATGGTAGAAAAACAACTTGCTAACACAATAAAAAAATACAACAAAAACAAATAATATTACCAATAACATTGCGAAGTATGCAATTTCGAAATTACAATTATTTTTTGAATTTATGAAATAAACTTTTGCAATCCAAATTCTACTGTGTTTCAACTATTCTACTACTTATGCGTGTGTGTATATGTATGATTTCGTTTACAATGTGTTTGCCTTCAGTTTGTTAAGAGGTTTTTTTATAAAAAAAAAATAATTTTATGTTGACTGGTATTTTTAAAATATTTTTTTTTTATTTAGAGCATTTTATTTTTTTTTAGTAACAAATTTTTATTGT